GCTCTCTAGTGAAGTGGCTCCCAGAATCTCTGGACCCACAGCATTTTAATCACATTTTGCCCTTTAGCAAAACAGATATACATATCAAAGATAAGGTTGGGTAAACAATAAAGGTCTATCAGGTTAGGGGAATTGCCCTCAGCTGTTTGGCAGCAGGTAATAATATGCAGATCTTCAGCCCTGCTGAAGCCCCAAGGTCCATCAGCCTTCTGATGAACTTTTTGCATAATTATGACCTGCTGGAATTTGCCTCCAGCACCCAACAACCCCAAATGCACCCAACAACCCAAAATGCACCCAACAACCCAAAATGCACCCAACAACCCAAAATGCACCCAACAACCCAAAATGACCTACGGGACAGCAGGTAATCTTGGCTCACTATAGTCACACTGGCATAGAGCCCTGTGCACGTCCCTCTCACCCATCTTCTCTCAAACCAGGGCACAATGCAACGTGCCCTTTTAAAGAGGCCATTTAGCCATTCCATTTCCAAAAGAGAATTTTTTTTTCTTGGATTTTAACAAAAAGACATTTACAAAATGTGTTAGTTTACTACCTCTACTTGTAACATTTATTGGGTACTTTAGAACATCAGGAAAGATTAGATATGTCAAGAAAGTACTTGCTATGATCAAATAAATATGTATTAGTGAAGAATAAAATGTGCACCCAGAACAATGGTTGTAATATGAAAATGTCTTCTAAATATGACCAATCTAACATAAAACCCTTCTTTTTAAAAATTATCTTTATTGTTGAAAGTATTACAGATGCCCCATTTTTGCCCCTTTGACCCCCTTCACCCCACATCCACCCTAGAACCCTTCTTCTGAACTTGAATTTAGCTGTAGCCTAAATTTGGGGGTTTTCACAGATCACCTAGAACTCATTCATGAACCTAGAGGATCACAAAATCTGGATTAAGAATCCCTCTACTAAATGACTTTTTTAAAAAAAACTGTTGAAATATTTTTCTTTTATTTTTTAAAAAAATATGTTTTTATTGGTTTCAGAGAGAGGAAGAGAGAGAGAGAGAGAGAGAGAGAGAGAGAGAGAGTTAGAAACATCAACGATGAGAGAAAATCATTTATTGGTTGCCTCCTGCCCCCCCCCTCCCCCCAGGGATTGAGCCTGCAATCTAGGCATGTGCCCTGCCCGGGAATCAAACTGTGACCTTCTGGTTCATAGGTTGATGCTCAACCACTGAGCCACACTGGCTGGGCTCTACTAACGATTTTTATGTGCTTCTCACTGACCCCATAATTGATTCACTAAAGGAGAGAAGGTCTTTAGTTAACTCTTTTAATGCTTTCCAAGTGGGGCTCTGCTTTGGAGAAGTGCATTTCCAGTTATTGAACTGCTATTAGCCCTGCATCTCCTCCCGGGAGAGGAAAGTGTTTGACTCCCAAGGTTCCTGGCATTTTTGAAAGAACTCCAAACCACAGCCAGCTTTACTTTGGCAAGTCATTCCTTCCCTTTCTTCCTTCTTTCCTTTCCCATGGAACCTATTCCTTCCATCTGTCTTTCAAATTCTGCTTTACGAATAGCAATTCAAGTTTTATTTTCTTCTTGAATGCACGCTCTCTGGAAAAGAGGCTTTTCACCAAGAATGTGGTGTCTGATCGCTATCTTGCCAGTGGGTTAAACAAAGATCTCCATGCTGGGCAAAATTTTTACAAACCCACTCACACATGCCTGCTCTCCTCAAACTTGACTAAAACCAACAACATATTCATGAGAGTATAAGGGCTGAAAAAATTCTTTCCCAAACAATTGAGAAATAAGTGTGACATAATTTGATCAAACTATTCCTATTTTGCTTCTGTCCCCCCCCCCCCTCCGGAATGCACTAATACAGATAGACAGATGCCTCTATTCAGGTTATTTATCACCCAATGTTAAATAATCTGATGTTTGAAACACTGTTAGTAATTTATATGTGCTGAGAACTTTCACAAAGCGATGAGCATAAATATTAACTGCCCGCCCCCTGTCTGCAGAGTGGCATATAAGAAACTAGGAATTGGAAACGGCCTAAGTGCCCATTAGCAGATGAGTGGATTAGAAAACTGTGGTACATCTACACAATGGAATACTATGCTGCTGTAAAAAAGAAGGAATTCTTACCATTTGCAACAGCATGGAGGGAACTGGAGAGCATTATGCTAAGTGAAATAAGCCAGTCAATGAAAGAAAAATACCACATGATCTCACTCATTTATGGATAATAAAGACCATTATAAACTGATGAACAAAAAATAGATACAGAGGCAGAGCAGCATTGAACAGACTGTCAAACTACAGCAGGAAGGCCAGGGAGGGTTGGGAGGCAGGTAAGAGATCAACCGAAGGACTTGTATGCAGGTATATAAACATAACCAATGGACACAAGACACTGGGGGGTAGGGGAGGCCGGGGGAAGGTCAAGGGGGAAAAAAATAAAAAAGGAGACATATGTAATACTCTTTGTAATACTTTAAGCAATAAAACAAAATTTAAAAAAAAAGAAACTAGGAAGATCTTAGTTTTTCTTTCAACATTTTCTTTAAGGGCATAGTGGACAATTACTCTCATCTGGGCTCCCTAATGCCACAAAAAATCAATAAGAAAGAGACATGCATACAGTTAGCTCTTAGAGTGTCACAGAGCTGGCCTGATGGGCAGGACCCAGTAAAGGTCTCAGATGGCACTTCTCCCGTGAACCATCAGTGGAACTGAAAATGTCCAGAACATGCCCCCCACCAGAATCTCTGGGGGGTAGGGCTCATGTACCAGTAAATATTTTTCAAGTTGTCCAGGTATTCCAATATGCTGGCCAGATTGAGAACTACAGTTTGATGCAAATATATAATTCATTAAATAGCTTTCAAGTGTCAGATGTTGTTATGGACTGAATGTTTTGTGCCCCCTCCCCAATTTTATCTGTTGAAATCCTGATCCCCAAAGTGATGGTATTAGGAGGTGGGGCCTTTGGGGGGTGATGAGGTCATGAGGGTGCAGCCCTGGTGAATGGGATTAGCGCCCTTATAAAAGAGACCCCAGAGAGCTCCCTCACCCCTTCCACCATGTGAGGGCACAGCAAAAACGTAGTCTCATCTATGGAACAGGAAGTAGGCTCTCACCAGACATCAAATCTGCCGGTATCTTGGTCTTGGACTTCTAGCCTCCAAGTGAGAAATAAACGTCTATTGTTTAAGCCCCCTCAGTCTGTGGTATAGCAGCCCAAAAGACTCAGACAAATACAGATACAGAGCATAGAAAGATGGAGAAATTGTACCAGCACTTGAAGGGGACACAGTCTGGGGGCTTCACAGTCAATAATGGGAAGAGCTCTGTGCATTTGGTCCCTGACTCTTTCCTGTTTCTCATATGCTTGGGGACTGCCGGGAGCCGGTCCATCCTTGCTGCTTGACACAGTCGCTGCAGAGAAGAAACATCTGCACAGCATATGTTTCAAGGGACCTGGTGTATATGGCATACTGTTCTTAATATGTTTGCTTCCCTTAGCGCTATGTGTTTTAACCAAGGTCACCTCTCCAAGAAAGGTTGTTTTCCCAGGTAGGGATTTTTCCCTGAGGTTAGGGAGGGGATACAACCCCTTAACTAAGTGCCAGGCGGGTAGTTAATCACTTTAACTACAAACAATCACACTTAAGCTACATAATCTTTACTCCCTGGAATAGAGATAAGAAACGCCCTAACCTTTGCAATAGAAATTGACAGGATTAAAATCAACTGGTATAAATACAGATGTAAGAAGACAATAAACATCAGATCCTAATCAGAACCAGACCAGAACTTGGCCGGAGCTCTTAGCCAGAACTTCGCTGGAGATCCTGACCAGAACTTGGCTGGTGTTCCTGGCTAGAGATCCTGGCTAGGCTGCTGATCAACTGAACGCTGTCTCCGTGTCATTCCTTCTTCGCCGACTCTGTCCACACCTTTGGGGACCCCTGGACCTGCTGGGGTTGGACCCCAGCAGGGGACCACGTGACCTCCTTCTCTAAAAAACGGTTGTTGTGTGCTCAAACTTTGTTAGAAACATAAAACAACCAGGACTTCTGCATGCCACACAAGAACCATTGTACATTTCCATAGGGAATCTTGGTGGCTCTTAAATTTTCTGTGCCACTGTTCTTCTGTATATATCAATATAACCAGTCAAGATTTGGAAGTGGCTACTTTAAAATCATCTCGATCCATCCCTATACTGAACTCCTCAGAGGGCATTCATAACAGAGCAGTGTCTGACCACAAGCCCCATCATCCCTGCAAATAGCACATATTTTGAAGGATAGCTGGCATTTGCTGCTCTGATGCAAGGTGCTGAGTGCAGCCCAAGTAAGTCATCTACCAGCTGGACATCTGTTTCAGGAGCCAGCTGCTGCCTATTGAGGACAAGGGAGAGTGGAATCGATGGGACACATAATGATCCAGGAGTACCGTAAGCATCGTGTATGCCTGGTCTGGAAGATGAAGCAGAGGGGCTGGGCAGAGGCTCCTGGTGGGCACAGCTTGGGGCAATAGCCCTGAATGACTGTGTCTCAGGTACTTCTGTCTTTGCAGCTGAGGTACACTTTTGGTGGGATCTAAGGGTAACTACAAGGTAACGATTATAATATAGGCTGCAAATAAGAGTCTCTTCATTATTTTAAAATTCTTGATAATGAAAACTTTGATTGAATTTGAAATCCTTTTGCCTTAGCACAAGAAATCTCCTTTACCATTCTCCTCCTCTGTCAGTAATCTCCACCTATTGGACTTCTATCTTCTTTGGAACCTTCACACTAGCTTTTCCCTCTGCCTAGAATGCTTTCAGTTACTAGTGAAAGAGAAGGCAGAGGTATGTTTTTAGTGTATAAATTCAATTGTGGTTTAAAATAAGTATTTTAATTTTTCATCCACCTAAGTATGAATAAAATTTCTTGAGGATAGTGAAAAATAAAAAATAAAATAATTGCATGTTAATAATAATCAACAACTAACTGGTGCTCGTTTCGGCAGCACGTGTACTAAAATTGAAATGATACAGAGAAGATCAGCATGGCTCCTGAGCAAGGATGACACACAGATTCATGAAGCGTTCTATATTTTTGTTGGGAGACTGGGTGAAAAAGGTGAAAGGATTGAAAATTACAAATTTGTGGTTACAAAACAGTCATGGGGATGTCAAGTACAGCATAGGAAATACAGGCAATAGTTTTGTAACAGTTATGTATGGTGCCTGCTGGGTACTGGAAATATCAGGAGGAACACTTTGTAAAGTATATGATTGCCTAACCACTATGCTGTACACTTGAAACTAATACAAAAGAATATTGAATATGAACTGTGATTGAAAAAAATTTTAAATAAAGAATGAGCTTTAATATTAAAAACATCAACAACTGGACAATGTTTTATGATTTTACAAAATACCTTCATATAGCAGTAGTCCTCAATTAGAGGCAATGTCTCCTACCCCCACCCCACCCCACCAGAGGATAGATTCTCCAGAGTCAGGTCCCTAGAAGCAACCACAGGCAACAAAGCCCACACTGGCCTGTGCCACATTGGGCTTGAGGTCAAGGGGGATGCTGGCCAAATTTAGGTCCCATAGCAAACCTGCCCTGCTGCTGGTTTGGTTCAGGTTGTAAATCCAGAGTCTGGAACCCAGAAACCTTGCTTGCTGTATGACTCAAGAAGTGTTGCATCTCTTTAAACCACAGTTTTCCCAACCATACAGCAGGAAGATTTTCTAATCTGTTTGTGTAAGTCAGGGTTCTCTAGAGAAACAGAGCCGATATGTATATACATATCTACATATGCATATACATACATATACATACATAAATATATACAAACTGTAAGGGATATTTTGTATACATACTAGAGGCCCAGTGCATGAATTCGTGCACTGGTGGGGTCTGGCTGGCCCACCCCGATGGGGGCCCATTGGGCCAGGCCAGCAGGGAGGAAGGGTCGCGGGTGATTGGCCAGACTGGCCCTGCCCCAGGTCAGGGTGTTGGGGGCCAGTGGGTGGGAGGGGCTGCAGGCTGTTGGCCAGCCAGCTCCACCCCTGATTGGGGTGTTGGGGGTTGATTGGAGGCTGGGCTGGCTGGAGGTGGGGGGCTGATCAGGGCCTGGATCAGGCTAGTTGGCTGCTGCAGTGCGCATCATAGCTACTGGCTGTTCTGGTCGTTCCGCCATTCCGGTCGCTGGACTTTTATATATATAGATTAATTATAAGGTTTGGTTTGTGCCAGTTATGAAGGCTGAGAAGTTTCCAGATCTGCAATTGGCAAGCTGAAGACTCAGGGGAGCCAATGGTGTAGTTCCAATCTGAGTCCAAGTCCTTAAAACAGGAGAAGACTCATGTCCCAGCTGGGAGGCAATCAAGCAAGGGGAGAAAGTTGAGAGAGAGAGAGAGAGAGAACAGAAATTATCATATACTCAGCCTTTTGCTCTGTTGTTCAGGCCTCCAGTAGATTGGATGAGGCCTACGCACAGAAGGGAGATGGAGCCATTTGCTTTACTCAGTCTATCCATTCAAATGGTAATCTCATCACTGCTATAGACTAAGTATTTGTGTCTCCCCAAATTCTTATGTTGAATCCTAATGCCCAATGCAATAATATTAGGAGGTGGGGCCTTTGGGAGGTGAGTAGCTTATGAGGGTGGAGCCCTCATGAATGAAATTAGTGCCCTTATATAAAAGAGACTCTAGTGAGCCCCTTCTGCCATATGAGGTTACTCTAAAAGATAGCCATCTAAGAGCCAGAAAGCAGGCCCTCACTAGACACTGCCTCTACTGGCACCCTGATCTCGGACTTCCAGCTTCCAGACTGTGAGAAATAAAAAGGTGCTCTGAATGCGAATCAGACAGTATAGTGAAGATACAAGGCCAAAATTTAGTGATGAAAATATTTCTAATTTTTGAATTGATGACTGTTGTGCAGGAGATATAATGTACACTTATATAGAAGAGTTTGTATTTGAATTTTGAAAAATTAGTTTTATAATATTCATGTTGTTTTGTTTATTTAAAAAGGCCTCTGTTTCATACACCTTAAATTATGCATTCTCTGAGTTCAAAGTTCTTAGATGAAATGTTATCTTTTTAAATTAAAAATAAGTGATTACCATAGTGTTCTGGCAAAAGCAGCACAGTGCTATGGATTTATGGCATACAGAACAAAAATGTTCTTGCCAGATTGAAATAATTTGTGTGTTTTTTCATAGTGAAAAAGAACTTTATGATAGACTGTAATATTGTTCAAAGTAATAGCTGCTCCTTTCTGGGCAAGGACTGTAATTCCCACCCCATAATATCAGGTCATTGTATGTTTTCACTGTCCCCCTTTTACTCTGTCTGAAGAAAGGCAATGTCAGATAAAGGCTGCCGCAAGTGGGTTCTGGACATGGAGCTAAGCCTGCAACAGACATAATGTGAGCTGGAAATAAACTGTTTGTTGTTGTAGGCCATTGGGATTTTGAGGTTGTTTTCACTAAGCATGACCTAGCCTGCCCTGACCGTTAAATGACCTGAAATTTTCCCTAAACTGTAACTTCTGTCCTCAGGGAGACCTCCCAGCTTAAGAATTAAGATCAACTCAAAGGATAAGGTTGCTTTCCATTGCACTGAGGGTGCATAAAAGAAGGAAATGAGCATAGCCCAGACTTTGGGGAAGATAAAGCTGACTGGTTACTCACAGTAAATATGTAAGGGTGTGGCTTTGGACTTAGCCTGAGTTCAAATCCTGACTCTACCACTCACCTGCTAGGTAGCCTTAGGGAGTTACTCAATCATTGTGAGAGTCTGTTTTCCCTTCCATAAACCTGAAATAAAAATATTTATATTATAGGATTATGTGAAGATTAAATTATATCACATATATAAAAAGCACTTTAGCATAGCATTAAGAGCTCATCACTATGGGTTTACAAGATGCAGGAACTCAGCAATGGTAGTTATTGTTAACATTTGTGTATACACACAGAGAGACATTTAAATAATTTAGGCATTCAGTCTGAATGCTGACAAAACATTCACAAAATAGAGAGAAATGTGATAACTTAAAGCACTCACTAGTTAGCATAACTATGCATCATAATTTTGCTCTAATTGCAATATGGCTAGATAGTGATTTAAAATGTTTGACAATTACTAACATTTGAGAAACCAAGTTTATTCAAAACTGTTTTTGGAAAGAGAATATGTTCATAAATGTAAAATTGCTAGAGTCATATTTAAACCAAGCCACCAAATAATTCCAGCCAACTTTTAAAAACATCCCTCTCAGTGTATGGCTCTGAATGGGGTTAACAACAGGCGAGATAAAGAAGAAATAAATCACATGTGGTCCCTATCTCAACTAGTAGTTTAAGTCTGATGATAGAAACAGGCACATGAGCCCTGGCCAGTGTGGTTCAGTGATTAGAGCGTTGGCCTGCACACCGAAGGGCCGTAGGTTGGATTCCCGGTCAAGGGCATGTACCTGGGTTGCAGGTTTGATCCCCAGCCCTGGTCAGGGCATGTGGGGAGGCAACCAATGTATGTGTTTCTCTCACATCGATGTTTCTCTCTATCTCCCTCCCCTCCACTCTATCTAAAAATCAATGGGGGGAAAAGGGAACAGATATATGAACAACCAATTCTATTATGAGATGTAATGACAGCAATGCTAAGTAACATGCTCATGTTATACCAGTTGAGTGTAACATGATGGTTTGAGGTAGAGGGTATATTCGTCTGCTCTGGCTGCCATAAAAAAATACTATAGACTAGATGGCTTAAATGAAAGACATTTATTTTCTCACAGTTATGGAGGCTGGAAGTTCAAGATCAGAGTCCCAGTATGGTTGGTTTCTGGTGAGAGCCCCCTTCCTGGCTTATAGATGGCTGCCTTCTCACTGTATCCTAACATAGCCTTTCCTTAGTGCACTCAATAAGAGAGATTGATCAAGCTCTCTGGTGTCTCTTCTTATAAGGGCACCAATCCTGCCCTCATGACCAAATCACCTCCCAAAGGCCCACTCCAAATACCATCACATTGAGGACCAGGGCTTCAACAAATGAATTTTAGGAGGATACAACATTCTGTGCATGACAGATGGCATAGCAAATACAAACACCAATACGAGAGCTCAACCATCATTTTATGAAGACACATAAGCAACAACAAGAAAAGTAACAACAAAAACTCATAATGTAACAGGGCTCTTCATTTATTCAACCAAGTGATCCATGCTGTGGATAAGAGTGAGAATGTGAGAGTCAGGAGTCTTGATCTTACAACCCCTAAATCAATCAACTGAGAGATACAGGTTATATCCAAACATCAGGATTAGATGGCAGGGAATGTATGTGATGGGGAGGGGGGGTGGGCAGTTGAGGGGTGGGGACAGGGGAGAGGCCTAGGACTAGCTCAGGGAAGACTTTCCTGTGATATTTAAATTGAGATGTGGAGAGTAGAAGAGTAGAAAAAATTAAATTCCAGATAGGGAAAAGCTATGTGAAGGTGAAACAAGGATGAACTTTGTGTCCTTGAGTGACAGAAAGAAGATCAGTGAGGCTGGAAAAGGGTGAGAAAGGAAGAAGCTGAGTGAAATGGAGTAAGGTGGGAAAGGCCAGGGCAGATAGGCAAAATTTGGGACATCTGTTTAGTGGTTACCAGGTGCAATGGGAAGTCATCAAAGGACTTTAGGAAAGACATAATCCAACTAATTTTTTTTTTGTATGTTAATCCTCACCCAAGGGTATTTTTTAAATTTATTTTCAGAGAGAGTGGAAGGGAGGGGGAGAGACACAGAGAGAAACATTGATATGAGAGAGACACATAGATTGGTTGCCTCCGGGGTCAAGCTTACAACCAAGATATGTGCCCTTGACAGGAACTGAACCCAGGACCCTTTAGTCTGCAGGCTGATGCTCTATCCACTGAGCAAAACTGGCTAAGGCTCCAGCTAATGTTTTTAAGTTTGTTATGGTTACTCATAAAATTAAACATAGATTCATCACTGATCCAGCAATTCTACTCCTGGATATATACCCAAAAGAATTGAAAGCAAGGACCCAAACGTATTTGCACCTGTATGTTCATAGCAGCATTATTCTCAACAGCCAAAAGATGGAAACAAGCCACATATTCATCAACAGATGTAAGGCTAAACAAAATGTGGTATATATGTACAATGCACTGTTATTCAGCCTTACACAAAAGAAATTCTGATATATAGGTACTATAACATGGATGAACCTTGAAAACATTATGCTAAATAAACCAAGCCAGATATAAGAGGACAAACACTGTCTAATTACACTTATGTGAGGTTTCCAGAGTAGCCAAATTCACAGAAACAGAAAGTAGAATGATGGTTATCAGTGCCTGTGGGTAGCTGGGTAGGGAGAGTGGGGTGTTATTATTATTTAATAGGTGCAGAGTTTCGGCTGGGAAAGATGACAAAGTTCTGAAAATGGATATTGGTGGTGGTTACACAACAATGTACTTATGCTTCTGAACTACTTAAAAATGGTTAAAATGGTAAATTTTTGTTACATATTTTACCACAATAAAAACATTTGTTATGGTTGCTGCATAGGGAGTTGGAGGTGGGCAGCAAAATAGGGGGCAGGAGAGACCAACTCCCAGGCTCTTGTGTAGCCCTGGTTAGAGAGCAGGGTGGCTTGGATCAGGTTGGAGCAGTAGAGACCAGGAGAAGTGGATGGATTATCAATTCATTTTCAAGCTTGACTCCATTGGACTAGGTGATGTTCTAGATGAGGGTGATAGTGAGGAAAATAGGGAGGGAAGTGTCAGGGATGGCACCACCCTGGTGTCAGGTACTAGCAATGAGAGATTAAAAACACCATACTGAAATGGCAAACACGGAAGGAGGTACATACTGCAAGTGGAGGGAGGTGGGGAGTTGGGGGTTCTAATGTTCAGGTTTAGATACACTATGTTTGAGATGACTATGAAAGAACCAAGTGCAGCTGTCAAATAGGGATTGGATATATAGGTCTGGAGCTCAGAAGGATATAACAGGTAGGATGTGACAGAAGATAGATACCATTGAAAACCACAGGATCAAAAAGAAAACAAACAAAAAAACCCCAAATAAAAGGAAGAAAAAAAGAAGACCACAGGATCATATAAGATTGCCTAAGCCAAGAGTGTAGAGCAATGATGGTGAACCTATGACACGCGTGTCAGAGGTGACACGCGAACTCATTTTTTTGGTTGATTTTTCTTTGTTAAATGGCACTTAAATATATAAAATAAATATCAAAAATATAAGCCTTTGTTTTACTATGGTTGCAAATATCAAAAAATTTCTATATGTGACAGAGCACCAGAGTTAAGTTAGGGTTTTTCAAAATGCTGACACGCCGAGCTCAAAAGGTTCGCCATCACTGGTATAGACCAATGAGAAGAAAATGCAGTCCAAGAAATGCAATGAGACAATCTTTGAGGGGAGTCGCTGTGGTTTTCTGCTTCAATAATGCTTGGATGGAACCAGCCTTTGACCCCCATCCCAGCCAGCTGCCCATATCTAGCCTTCAGCCACCTCCTCATAGCTCCCTCGGACAGCCCCTAGGCCTCTGCCACAGCTCTAGTGCTGTGCAGCCTACTTTCCTTAGTCATCCACCATGATGACCACATCCACCTCACAGGTGCACCAGAACTACCACCAGGACTTGGAGGCCGCCATCAACCGCCTGATCAACCGCCTGATCAACCTGGAGCTCTATGCTTCCTACATCTACCTGTCCATGTCTTACTACTCTGACATAATCTGTGCGGGTGTCTAAACAGGAGTGGGTGTCTGCTGCTGAGAATGATGGTGGCAGGGACACTAGATGGAGAAAGAGCTGAAGGTGCTGCTGAGGTGTGGGAGGTTGTGAAAGGTGGAAAGGCTGTGAAGCCCAGGGACTTAAGCCAGGTTTTGAAGCCTGGTTTCGGTGCAAGCTGGAGGCAGAGAAGGTCCTAGCTCCTGAGTCCAAAAGAATGGAGTAGGAAGAAGAGGACCAGCACTGAGAAGACAGACAGGTGGAGGTAGAGAGCCAACAGGCTATGTAGGTGCCTGGATTACGCTAAGGGCACTGGGAGTTTAGTGATACAGGGAGGTGCCAGATACTGGGGTGCTGCATCCTGAGAGCCTCCTGGGCATAAGAAAAAGGGTGAGGCAACAGACTGTTCCTATGCGGGCCCACACTGCTCTGCTTCCTGTCCAGCACTCGATCTGTGGTTAGAGTGTAGACAGGATGAATGGATCTGCCTGGAGGAGCCAAGGAAAGGTGTGCGCGCCTGCATGTTGCTTCCAGCCTTTTCACGTGGTGCTGATGGAGTCAGAAGATGAATCTGGTGGTTTGTTGGTGCCAGTCTGGTTGTTCATCAAACATGACTCTGTGACTCTGCCAAGAGCATTCTGGGGGCAGAGTGACCGCAGCCTGAAATATGCAAGAGCCGAACCTCTCTGATGGGAGTCACCTGGGTTAGCCGAGTAGGCTCTCCACTCTGCTTCCATCCAGCCTGGCCCTATCAGGTCAGTGTTGAGCCCCAGGCTATCGGGGAGGAGGAGAACTGCAGCAGTGTAGTTTGCTCCTTTGGATTTTTGATAAATGAAGAACATGGGAGATGAGTCTGGCTGGATGTTAGGCCACCGTTTGCTTTATCTCCTTGCTAAACAAGGAGGGAGATGGTGGGAGTAGGGGGTGACTTTCTTACTCATTCGTGGTAAGATTGTCTTTTTCTTCAAACAATCAAAGGACAATAAGGGCATGCCATACCCTGAGGTCAGTCTAAGGAAAGGAAAGTGTGTTTTGATTAAAATTCGATGGTGGAAATGCTGGCCTGGAGCAAGATCAATGATTGCCCTTCTCCTTTTCCTGCCATGGCTGCCATCTCCCATCCCATGCGTTTGGTCCCATGAGAGTGGTGAGATGAGTGTAGAGCAGTGATGGTGAACCTTTTGAGCTCGGCATGTCAGCATTTTGAAAAACCCTAACTTAACTCTGGTGCCGTGTCACATATAGAAATTTTTTGATATTTGCAACCATAGTAAAACAAAGATTTATATTTTTGATATTTATTTTATATATTTAAATGCCATTTAACAAAGAAAAATCAACCAAAAAAATGAGTTCATAGGTTCGCCATCACTGGTGTAGAGAGTTAGGAGATGATGCCTCATTCAGGTAAAGCAGAGCGCCGCTAAATCTAAAGTCAGGCTTTAGAAATGGAACCTTGTTAGAGAGGGCTGCCTCCAAGGATCTGGGAAAGCATCTAAATACCAACGAGGAGGAAAAAAAGCCGTGAAAGTGGGCAGGGACGCAAGTGCCTGTAGAGCACCTTTGTGCCTCCAATCCCCTCTTTATCTTGTTCATCACCATGTGACCCTGGGAAAGTGGCAGGAGATCAAGAGTTTTGTCCCAAATAATTGAGATTCAGATCCCAGAAGTGTTCTGAATAAGAGCAAAAGCAGGTCAAGTTTGGGTTAAACATGAATACAAGGGAAGATTGGGGGACAGGGAGAAGATGAGGGGAGGACAGACTTGCACAAGCCGTATAATGATATGAAGACTAATTGATAACTATGCATAAAATGGCTATATTCTTTTATTGTACAGAACCAATGGCTCTGTGCAAAAATGATTTGATTTATCTCTAGGACTGCCCCAACAAATTAAAAAAAATGATGTCTTTTTCAGATTGTGGCTAAATGAGGTTTGATAAATATACCTGACCATACTGTGAAATTGGATAGCAAGGAGAGGAATAAAAATTAGGTCCTCTTGTTGTATCCTCTGAGTATTATTTCCCCAAATGGAATTGAAATGAGGACAGGGAAGGATTTGATTAAAACAAAATAACGAGAAAAATTGAATGGAATTCTGGTGAAGAAATATGATGAAGTTGGAGCTGAAGATTACTAATACTTCACAGTGTGAAACACTGAGAACTATTTATTTTTTAAAATTTGGGTCATTGGATGATTTGCCTCAGGAAGAGTTTCTGAAAAATAAACTCATCTCTCTTCCAAAATATTTGAATATCTATCTGTTTATCCACTTATCTGGCATTTCAGGCACTGTGATAAACACTTTATATATACAATATTTACAAGAACCCCATGAGGTAAGTACTTTGTCTGTGTTCCACAAATTAAGAAATGAGGTTAAAAATAGTTAAGTAATTTGCCTAAGGTTAAAGAGCTAAATGCAGAATAAGATGGGCACGTCTGTCTGGTTCTAGAGAACCCTACACACTGAACCAATATTCTAGGTTGCCTTGCAGTGGCTTGTATGTCTGCAAAACAAGCAGATAGGGAATTCATCCCAGCCAACACACGTTGGCTTCACAGACACAAAGCAGGTTTTATTAAAACATTTAGTTGATGGCGTTTGATATAAGACTTTGTGCACAACGTCTCCTTACTTACCCTGAACTCTAAAAATGTCCTCAAAAAGCCCAGTAAAAAGGTGTGATGTTAAAAATCATCAGCTTAAGTTGATAAGAGGAAATCATTTTAGTGGCAAAAGACCAATGAACTGCAAATCTTCATGGTCATTAGAAATGGAACCTCCCTAGAATATGATTTATTCTCTCAATTCAAATATATCTACATTTCAAATCATGTCTTCCCCAGACATAACCATGCAGAAAAACGTCAAGTGAACCCCTGTCTTAGATGCCAGTCCTTTGCCAGATATCTGAATTATAAATTGGTTCTACTTCATAGGTTAGCATGTACTCTCGGCCCTTCAAAGAATGTGGTGTTTTGGTATTGCTGTTCAAATCAACCTGAAGGACCATAAAACATAGTGATTTCAATTTTGCCAAGGCACAATTGACATGCTTTGTCACACACAGTGCATGCTCTGTCCAATGGGTATCTTGGATTGCACATCTAGCTAGTGACAGAGTGAGGGGAATAGCAAACCCTGTATGCTTTTCAGGTGATAAAAGACTTCTTTGTTAGCAACATATATAACAACTAGAGGCCTGGTGCACAAAATTCATGCAGGGGGTGTGTGTCCCTCAGCCCAGCCTGCACCCTTTCCAATCTGGGACCCCTCGAGGGATGTCCGACTGCCCGTTTAGGCCTCTCACAATCCAGGACTGCTAGCTCCCAACTGTTTGCCTGCCTGCCTGCCTGATTGCTCCTAACCACTTCTGCCTGCCAGCCTGATCACCACTAACCACCCCCCTGCCAGCCTGATCAATGCCTAACTGCTCCCCTGTTGGCCCAATTGCCCCTAACTGCTCTCCCTTACTGGCCTGGTCACCCCTAACTGCCCTCCCTTGCCAGCCTGGTTCCCCCCAACTGCCCTCCCCTGCAGGTCTGGTCCCTCCCAACTGCCCTCCCCTGCTGGCCATCTTGTGTCCACATGGGGGTGGCCTTCTTTGACCACTTGGGGGTGGCCATCTTGTGTATTGGAGTGATGGTCAATTTGCATATTATCCTTTTATTATATAGGATTTGGTATGGGAGAGAATAGTGATGAAATTTGAAAAGACAACTTGTGGGATGAGAATATTTTTTGAACTGTGACTCAGTGGGCATATAATTGTCAAGAAAGTCAGGAACTTGTAGAAACATTTTGATTCAATAATTTGGAGCTCTCCAGGAGTCTGGGTCACATCCTTTACCCATGTGCGAGGCCTGTTGCACGCTGCTGTGGGAACAAGATAATTCAGGATTGTATAAAAATGATGAAACACTCTCATAAAAGTGACGTTTACATGCATGTCTAAATATTACCACCTACCTTATTACAATTTAGTGTTGTAATTTCCCGCTATTTTTTTGTTCCTTGTAATAAACCAATATATAAATACTCTCATGTATTTTTGCTGCATCTGTTGGGGAAGAATTCTTTGTTTTATCTGAGAGAAATAACATGAATTTTAGCCAGAAACCACCCACAGAAATATACTAGTTCCCCTCCACATGTGCCTGCCTGCCTTTTTGCCACCCATACCAGAGCAGGGTTGCTCATTAGTTTCTGGTACCAGACAGCTGAGCAGCATATTACACAGTTAGCTGGAAGGTGGCGTTATCTGTGAAGAAGATTCAAATCAAGAGAAGAAATTGGGGAGAATTGAACCCCACCTGAAAACCAATCAGAAAGAACTGACTGGTTTCAATTTGCTTTGAAATGATGTAGTATTTCTCTCAGTGTTGGCTCATTCTGCCCAGACCTGTCACCCATTCAGGCAGCGTTCCTTGAAACAGGGGCTTCCCCCAGGTGGGATGATGAAGAAACTCAGATTTGGACATGCCCAGGTGGCTGTAGAGGATGCTGTGCCCCTTGATGCCAGTCTGCCTCCATGTGGCAAGGGGGCACTTGGGGCACTGCCTGTCATGTTAATCTTTGCCAATCACCCTCTGGCATGGCCAAGGACCGCTAGCCCCTTTCAGTTTGATGGCTTCGCATATATAGTTTTTATTAATTTTAGAGAGAGAAAGGGGGGAGGGAAACATTGATGTGAAAGGGAAACATTGATGTGAAATAGAAACATCAATTGGTTGCCTCCTGTGTGTGCCCCGACCAGGGATCAAACCCATAACCTAGGTATGTACCTTGACTGGGAATTGAACCCCCAACTTTTGGTGTAGGGGACAGTTCTTCAACCAACTTAGCCACCCATTCAGGGCCACATCTTCAATTAAGAAAAAACTGGGGCAAGAATTGTCAGGCCAGCCTGGAGCATTTGGCTGCCTTCTTTTTGTGCCCTCCCGCCCGCCCCCCCCTCCACTGCCTTCCAAGTTCTTGTGCTCTGTTTGAAATTAAACTTACATTTTCTTCCAAAGTGAATGACAGAGAGAGAGAGAGAAAAGGAGAAGCCACCCAGGGTTGAAAAGTGGTAGCTTCTTACAGCTGACTTCCTGCCTTTGCCAAGGAGGAAGTTCGGTGTGTCCTCAGCTCACCCTTGCCTGCCACGCTCTATGCAAATGAGAAGCTGTTTCCATGTCTGCCCGTCTGAGGCCCTTCAGTAAAAAAGAAAGAAAGAAGGAAAAGCAAAAACCCATGCCACCACCACCCAAACACCCCAAGACCAATTAATTCCAGTGGATTGAAGCAAAGCAGGAGGCCTCTGTGGGGGCGCATCCTGTTTGCCATTTAAGCTGTCAACCCCCATGCCAATAACCTCCCTGATGACCCATACTCAGTTGTGGAAGAAATCAGGGGTGACAAGAAATTCAAAATACTTGCAGGACAATTTTTCTAACCTTTGGTCACTTGGAATGCTATTTTTTTTTTAGGCTAATTTGCTTTGACTGGAAAACAGGAAAAGCAAACCTACATCTTAAATGACGCCTGTAAATTTATTTTAGAGCCAGGCTTGAGGTCAGCTGACTTGGTTTTGGATCTTGCAAGAACCATCTTTGCCTTTTAAAGGCTATTGTGTGGTGGGACCACAGCCAGGCAGAATACCCCTGTCCTTTGCTTTCAGACCTCTAATACCCGTGTTTAACTTGAAGCGTCCCCACGTAAGCAGACCTGATGATTATATTAACAGGCCAAGTAAGAAATTAAAAAATCCAGTCAGAAAAAATTTGTTTGGCCTTGGGCAGAATATATTAAACAGACTGAACTTAAATGGAGGGAGGACCAGGAAATGAATTTATTTATCTTCAGTCTCTGCCATCACACATGACATCTCAGACAGATTCCTTAATCCATCCCTTTCCTGTCTCTTTCAGCCCTAAGAATAGTCTCTTTTTAGATCATTAAGAGTCATTTTCAAGGTTCAATAATCCAGTCCAGCCTAAGTAAGAATCAGCTGCAAGCCCAGTCGAAAGCCCCTTCAGTAACTTTGCAGGTACGTGTCAGGTGAAGTTGGTAAGACTATTGATTGGCGAAAGTGAGAGAAACTATTAGCAAATCTATTTATTTATTTTTCTCACTCTCTTTTACTTTTTCTTTTGTGCACATTCTAAAATATACCTAAGTTTTGGTTCAGTAGAGCATTTTCAGTTTGCAAATAAATATAAATATATTTGGTGGGAGGCAAAATAGAAAAAAGTGTTTGGCGTACTTGGCACCAGAGGAGGGCTTGAATAGGAGTGAGACTATAGTCAGAAAGATCAGCTAGGAGGCAATGCAGTAATCCAGGAGAGAGATTATTAACTAAGGGAGAGCCTTTCGTTAGAGAGAAGTTAGAATTGTAAGAGTTGGTCACTGAAGAAATGTGGGTCTGGAGAGGGGAAGTGATGAGGGCAGGGACTTTGACTTGGGTGATGAGGGATTGGTGTTGCTTTTGTACCCAGTTTTTCTCAGGACTCAGCCGTGAGTGAGAACAAGGTCACATTCATCAAACCTCAGTGCTCCGAGGCCACCTGAGTGCCTGGCAGGATGTCCAATCTTTTCCTGAAGCCCCCTGCTCAGCCGTTCCCCTTGATTTGTCTTTCACATCACAGCTGTTGCATCCTTCTGCCCCAGGTTGCTGTCTGTGCTCTGTCCATGCTGTGCCCACCTGCAAAGCCATCTATACCTTCAAGTGCCTTTCTCCCTTCAACACCAGCTTTTGCAGAGGGGCTTCTCAGAGATGACTGGGCTTGCATAGATCAGCCTCTTCTTCATGGGCCGGTGTCAAAATCAAATCAAATAGACCTTTCTGACCCGGAAACCGTGTTCTCTCCATCCTCTACACTGGCCTGTGCAGACAGCCAAACTTCTTCAAAGCTATTTCTCACAGCCTCATGCATAAATGAAGGGATGTGGCTGGCCGAGAGTCCTCAGCGGTTCTAGAGTCTTCAAACAGTTCATAGCTGTGGCAGAGCCCAGGATTATACTGTGCTGTTAGGAGGCTGGTCTAGCCAGAGCTGGAAGAAGACCACTTCGGGAGGTATGGGTGAAATCTGTGTTTCTAAAGGAGTCTTGTTCTGACCTGACTCTAAGGCAGTGACGGCGAACCTTTTGAGCTCAGCGTGTCAGCATTTTGAAAAACCCTAACTTAACTCTGGTGCCGTGTCACATATAGAAATTTTTTGATCTTTGCAACCATAGTAAAACAAAGACTTATATTTTTGATTGCTGGGGGCCAGCCCCAGGGGTCCAGGGGCTCTCAAAGGTGTGGACGGAGTCGGCGAAGAATGTTTTACACGGAGACAGCGATCAGAACTCTCTAGCTTTCCTTAGTCTCCGTGGATCTTCCCTGTGCCTGGCTGAGGCCACAGAGAGAGATCCCAAGGCAAGCTGAGCCTTTATTTTATAGTGAGAGGTAAACAAGGTAGTGGTTTCCATAGTTACACAGTTCTTGTGAGTTTCACTTGTTTTGGCCACTTTCTTCACTTCCCTCAGCCCATTAGCTTCCCAGATAAGATCTAGAGAGCCTCATAAGGTCAAGCCTAATTATGCTAAGAGGACTGTGTCCTCTAAGCTGGGAATTGTTTGTGACTTTACCAACAGGTCAGTCCGAGGCTTAACCCTATATCAGCTCACCACATTTGATATTTATTTTATATATTTAAATGCCATTTAACAAAGAAAAATCAACCAAAAAAATGAGTTTGCGTGTCACCTCTGACACACGTGTCATAGGTTCGCCATCACTGCTCTAAGTACTGATACCCAGTATTGACAAAGGCCATAATAAAGAGTAACAGACTTAGGTGTGGACAAAAGGGGTGAGTTCATATCTGAACAAGTTAAATTTGAAATGTGTCTAGTGGCTGTAAAGATGGCAATAGCCCATCACTTGCTATGTATACAGATCCGTGGTAGAGGAGGAAAATCAGAATAGTGTTGGAGAGGAAAAGCTTTTCCTCTACTCTCTTAGATTCAGTATTTGGGGGGCCTGCATATTAAACTCAAACTAACAGGAACATAGATTTTAATCACTTATGAACTAACTAGTGGCCTGTGCATGGATTCGTGCACATTGAAAGGAAATTAATTAGAAGAAAGATTTGTGAGGTAATTATATTACTGCAAAAAATTACATGTCAAAATAGTATATATAATATAGTATTATAAAATTAAAATACAAAATATTTTAATATTGCTATTTCCCCATTCTCTACAATAGAAGTGCAGGAGTCAACGTTTATTTTTAAATTGCCAGTGTGTGTCATATGTACTGGCTGCTCGGTTGGATGGTCAGACGGACGGTCGGTCACTGAGCCTTTTATACATATAGATGGGAGTTTACAGAGAAATGTGACTCAAAGGGTAATTAACATTTGGGGCTTCTATATCACCTTAATAGGTGAAGGGGAGGGGGAGAAGGGCGCTCATGGGACAATTTAAATGTAAAACAGCTATCTCTTCCTTGGAGAGGCAAGCAGTCCTGAAAGAGAATGCGTGGGAGACATGATAATTTTGTGACCGTGTATGAGCGGGGTGCTGGCTGGTTCCTGCCTGGTATCTGAGAGGATTAGAGTTGCTCTCGAGAAGGAGATTTACCACAATTTAGTTTTTAGGGTGCTAAGCTCTTAGGCAGATAATGGATTTCAGGAACTCAAATACCTTTAGCTAAAAATAATTTTTATGTCACCGTGGCTTATTTTGACCACTTCAACATAAGTGTTCCATTTGGAGTACTCTCATCACTGCCTGGGGAAAGTGAAACCACAGGTGAATAAGAAGGTTCAAGTGACTATGCACCCTTGGAGGGAAGCAGATCCAGACTTGGGTCAGGAACTCTACAAGAGGAGCCAAGAACATTGGTCAGATTAGCAAGGAAGCCACTAAAGACAACTGGGTCCTATAAGAAGGGCCCAGAAGCTCCCACTGGCTGGAGATGGGACAATTTGAACATCACAAAGAATAATGACATCAGTAGGTTGAAACACAGCTACATATATCAATCCGCGAATTCATAATGATTTTCAAAACGACAAAACTCATTTGTTTCCTTTTGGAGGAGTCTGTTACCTTTGATTATTCTGAAAACCAGTAAAATAAGGGGAGTGAAATCAAACATTTATTCTATTTTCCTGTGTAAACTCTACTCACAGTAACCAAAGTGCTGATTAAGGAAATGTCTTCTTTATGGAAAAATTCAGCTAATAAGTTCAGAAAGAATGATAGAATTAGAACATCACTACTTTAATGAAACAGTAGAGCTGGGTAATTATCAGCAGTGTAATATTAAAACTACAGGGTGGAAAAAAGTAGGTTAATAATAATAAAAATAACACAATAAATAATAAATAATAATATAAGAACAAACTCTGTGTTTTGTGTACTCACAACTGTAAGCCTACTTTTGCCCACTCCTGTAGATGGTGAAAAAGCTGATGGGGGACTTTATAATATATGAATCAAGCTGGCACCACCTGAAGCCACTGATTAATTTTTTTAAAAATATATTTTTATTGATTTCTGAGAGGAAGGGAGAGGGAGAGATAGAAACATCAATGATGAGAGAGAATCATTGATTGGCTGCCTCTTACACACCCCCACTGGGGATTGAGCCCACAATCCAGGCATGTGCCCTTGACTGGAATTGAACCTGGGACGCTTCAGTCCACAGGCCGACACTCTCTCCACTGAGCCAAACTGGCTAGGGCAACTGATTATTATTATTTTTTTAATTTTAAGCAT